AGAGCTCAATGCAACCTTCCCTGAAGCGATGTTCCTGTAGTTCATGACTTATCCCCAGCCTCCACTCCCACCAAGAAGCTGTCAGAAAGCCCGGTTTTCAGGCCACTGCCTCAGAGTTGGACTCCACTTCTCTGTCTGGTCTCTTAAGATTGAAGCCTTAGTTGGACTCCTTATCTGGCTTCCATCCTTACCTTCACGTACTCTTTCATGGATCACCTCAACTTCGTGGTCTCTGGCTTACAAACCAACCCAGGACCCCAAAGGTCTTGGCCCATATTTTGTATGGAGGTTTCCTCTTGGGCTAAGGAGACAAGTGCAGACTAGTCAAGTTAAATATGTCTTCTTCTACATGCAGATGTAATGGTTCAGCCAGCAGGACTCGACCTATGATCACCCAAATCTACGAAAGAGAAATCCTGTTGTAACTATTCTTGCTCCTTGGTCTGGCTCCTGGGCCCTCCTGGCTTCGTGTTTATATTAGCCCTGGCTTCCTTCTACTCTCTAGACCTGTAACTTATATTGTCTCTAGTCTGTCTCTTGAACTTCCTGCTTTCAGAGAAGCTTATTGATTTGTTAATTCATCCAACACACATACTCATATTGTACCACTGGTTGCCTCTGCAGATGGTCAGGGGCCAGTCGGGGAGTTAGACAAAATAAAGGGCTGTGTCAATTCATGTGCTTCTTATTGCTTGTGACAGAAACCCTGATTCAAACTGGCTTAAGCAAAACTGGAATGTATTCCCTCACATACCTGGCAAGTCTGGGGATAGATCTGGTTTCCTTCAGGCACGGCTGGGCTCATGGGTCTTAAATGCTGCCTTTGGGACTTGGTCTGGCTTCATCTCTCAGCTCTGCTCTCCTTTGTGTTTGCTTCATTCTCAACGTCTCCATATGGTGGCAAGAGAAATGTCAACAACACCAGGTCCCCATCTTCCTAGCATCCTTTTGTACTGCTCTCTCAGCAGCTCCAGCACATGTCCCTGTGTGTCTCATGGTTTCTCAACCACTCAATTACATGCTCTTCTTTGAACCAGCAACTTTCATGAGTAGAACCTGATATTCTGGCTTTTCAAACCTGAGTCAGACAGTTGGATGGGAGTCTTCTGTCCTCTCCTTAAAGCTGGGTGTGGAGTCAACAAGAACTTAAATTGAAAGCAAGGGATACAGAGATTCGCCAGGAAACAGGTGAATGGATGTAAGATGATTTTAAAAAAAGGCTTTGGTTTTAGCCAATCACATGTTTATGGTATGTGTGTGGGGTCAAGTCTGACAAGGGACACATTTGACTCCACAAAGGATAGGCAAAGAAGGCTTCACTCCTCCCTGACCTCTTTGCTCTCTCCTTCTAGCAAAATTTACTCAGTGCCTGAATTTCAAGTGCAGAATACAGATTGTCCTAGAAGTAGGCTCTGCCCGTAGGAGCTGACAGAGCAGTGAGAAAGAAAGATGGCCAGGGTCATGGTCCTGTATTCACTGAGGATTTATATTATAAGAAATGGAAATGTGAAGAATATTTCTATGATTTTTATAAAATTAAAAAGATAGCTTCAACCGTTGTGTTATATTGACACCTTGTTTACCCAGGCTGGCTGAGTTGCATCTGTTTTGTTCAGTGCTTGGAATAAGTCTCTCTGGTATGCTTCCTTGAATAAGGAATACTCCCTAATCCACATTTTTAAAAAGCTTTTTTGCCTATGCTGCTATAAAACTCAAAACCTATAAAACTTAAAACCTGTGTTTAATTAAAAATAGCTTTTCTTAGTCTAAGTTTTCTATGAGATTAGTTTTTTTTCTTTATGGTTTTGTGGTTCTGTTGTACCACAGACTTTTATATTGTTTCTTTTTAGAGAGTCAGCCAGATCATGTAGTTATGTACACTTTAAAAGGCAACAAATGTGATAATGTTTTTATGACATTCAAAATCCAACAAGCAATCCTTACATTATTTTCTTAGCTGTGTTTTTTATTTTGCTCTATACTATTGAAGAGAATATTGAGAAAAGCAACATCCATGATCTGAGGATAAGAGAGCCCATTAATACAGTGATTGTCAACATTTGGAATGCTCAGAGGCATTCTTCTTGATTGTCTGGGCTATTGGAATCTCATTGGCAGAGGCCAGGGACACTGATAAACATCTTGTGGTGCACAAGAGAGGACCCCACAATAAAAATTATCTAGTCCAAATTATCTCTAACACTTTGCACTTAGAGGATTTTAAGAGTTCTGAGCAAGTTCATAATTTAGGCTTAAGATAAAGATACAGACAAATTAGAGTCATAGGATTATAGACTCCTGGAGCTGATAGGGAAAGTCATGTAGTCCAGTCTCCCTACTTTCTAGATAAGGCAAATGAGTCACACAGGAAAAAGGTGACCTGAAGCAGTATAAATCCTTCACCCCCTAAATATGTGATCAAGCAACTTGCCCAGTCTCCCTGTGCCTGCTTCCTCATCTGCACAAAGAAGAATAAAACTTGCCTCACATGGTTGCTGGCAGGCTGAATAAAGAAGTAGCACATGTCACGTTTTTAGTACATAGTGAGTTGTTAATAAATAGTGGTGGTGCTTGGGTCCCTGCATCCACGTGGGAGACCTGGATGAAGCTCCTTCAACCTGGCCCAGCCCCAGCCATTGCAGCCATTTTGGGAGTGAACCAGCAGATGGAAGATCTCTCTCTCTCTCTCTCTCTCTCTCTCTCTCTCTCCCACACACACATCTGTCTTTCAAATAAATAAAATAAATCTTTAACAAAATATAATAAATAGTGGTGGGAGGGCCAAGGTGGGGACTGACCTTACTGCTGTGGCCCAGACTCACCACACCTAGCTTGCTGCTTTTCTGCCCCTGTCCCCTTGACTCTCAGCCCTATTCTTTTATTGCACCACCTTGAGGGTCGATGAAGAAAGGTTATCATAGGAGCTTCGTGGAGATAAGGAAATATGATCTAGAGAGCACAGGGGGCTGGTGTTACAGCAAAGCAGGTTAAGCCACCACTTGCAACACTCACATCCCATATCAGAGTGCCAGTGTTCAAGTCCCTACTTCTCTGCTTCAGATCCAGCTCCCTACTAATGTACCTGAGGAGGCAGTGGAAGATGGCTCAAGGGTTTGGTTCCTGCCACTCATGTGGAAGACCATGATGGAGCTCCTGGCTCCTGGCTTTGGCTTGGCCCAGACCTAATTAGTGCAGCCATATGGGGAGTAAAGCAACTCTCCCTCCCTGCCATCTCCCCCACCCCCACCACTCTGCCTTTCAGATAAATAAATCTTTCTTAAAGATTTAAAAAAGGAGCTAGAGCACTCAGTTGCTGGTAAGAAGAAAAAGGCTGAATGGATGTTCCCCATAAATGACAGCAGAAGGGTTTGGAGTGTAGGTGAAGCTTCTGGACGCTGTAAGAAAGACTGCCCCCTGGGGGCAGTGCTGTAGCATAGTGGGTTAAGCCACCCTTTGCAGCACCGACATCGCATATAAGTGCCAGTTCAAGTCCTGGATGCCCCACCTGTGATCCAGCTCCCTGCTGATGGCATGGGAAAATAGTGGAAGATGGCCCAAGTGTTTGGGCCCCTGCACCCACTTGGGAGACCCAGATGATGCTTCTGGCTCCTGGCTTTGGCCTGGCCATTGCGGCCAGTTTGGGAGTGAACCAGTGGATGGAAGATTTTCTTTCTCTCTCTCTCTTCTCTCTAATTCTAACTTTCAAATAAATAAGTAAATCTTAGAGAGAGAAAGAAAGAAAGCGAACGAACCAAGAGGACACAGTGCTCTCGAGTGCACAGGCTTACACACGCCCTGTGCTACATCCTAACTCTTGACGAAGACGGACTAAAATAACAAACTCACTTGAAACAGGCTACTCTTTTCCAAAAGCTCTGTGAATCATGTTCCAAGTGAGTGTGCCTGAAGGAAGGGTAGGGCCTGGACCAGGTGACCCTGGTCAAGCCTTTCCAGCCTTGTCCATGTTCACATGGAGGCAGGATACCTGTGGGGCTGTCTGGAAAACTTCTGAAATGCAGCCTGGTTAGACAGTCGATCTGACTGTTAAGGTTCTCTGACGTCTAGTAGAGACGTGGACCTGGAGCTGGAAAAATGATGCAACACTGCAGATCATGACCACTGGGCTCAAGTAGACAGCCACAAAGATCTAGTTTTAAGGCTTACAGAATAAACTGCTTTATTAGGTTTTACTAATTCAGTCAACATGAGCATATGAGTAAGATGTTGCATAAAATTCTTTTTCCTCTGAAGATAGTCATAAATTTTCTTACCACAAATTCTATGGAGTTTCTTCTAATTTTTTGAAAGACTTGAGAAAGCTATTTAGGATTGCAGTGTGAGTTGAATGTTTATTTCTCTTCTTAAATTAGTCAACACAGTTGTTTTTAACCAGTAGCCTTTCTGTAAAAACTAGCAGAATTCAAAAGCATTAAAATTGTTTTGTAGCACAGGCATGCATTATACCCTCTCAAGGGAAAATCTCATTCATGTGGTAGCCTTCTCTTGAATATCCCACTTGTTGGACTGCACTCCTAAAATAATTCCAATCCCACAAAAATATTCTGGGTAATTAGTCATTTTGCCCTTCATCAAGAACAAACCAGCTGGTACATGAAAGAAAACGGGGTGAATCTTAGCTGATTTCATCTGTTTTTCATATGTCTGTGTGACACTGGCGATCCACAAAGCAGAGAAGAACAGCTCATGCCGTCCAGTGAGTGCCGACCGAGTGCCAGGTACCGTGCTAATGCTCAAAGCTGGACGTTAGATGATTTGCCCCAGGCCACGCAGCTGGAAGCAGGAGCACCCAGAGGACACAGTGACACAGGACACAGCCCTGTGAGTGCACAGGCGTACACATGCCCCGCGCCACATCCTGGCTCTTGACAAAGGAAGACGGACTAGAATAACAAACACAACCCCTCCAAGATCAGACTTCTAGATGCAGGAGGCCTGTTCCGTATTTCAGTGTGACCTTCAGCTTTTTTTCTCTTTTAAAGGTGCTGTGTAACGGACCGGGAACATGTGTTCCTATCTGCATATCCGCCCTGCTCCTCGGGATTCTAGGGATAAAGAAAGTGATCATTGTCTACGTGGAAAGCATCTGCCGGGTGGAAACCTTATCCCTGTCGGGAAAGATTCTGCTTCACCTCTCAGATTACCTCGTTGTGCAGTGGCCGACTCTGAAGGAGAAGTACCCCAAGTCTGTGTACCTCGGGCGAATCGTTTGACAAAGGGCAAAGTACTAGGTCTGCAGAGTCTTGCCGTGGACCATGGTATTTAAGTGGGGGTGGGGTGGGAACCCACATATTTACTGTGAAGGCTTCTGAAAGTCCCGGCAGTTACTGATGGTCAGGAGACTGAAAACAAAATGTGCAGATAACTCAGTGACGACACTGAGACTGCTCATAAAACAAACATGATACGCTGTAGACATGAAATATTTATGCCTCTTTTTACCAGATTTCTTCTCTAGAAAAAAAATATCACTGACTACAAGTTATCTTCTGTTTACAGAGTGGTTTTTTTCTTAACCTAAATATAGAGTTTGTATGATTAGTAACATTTCCTGCTCCATAGCTTTTTTTTTCCCCAAGTATCTGCTTTATAAAAAGGAAAGAAAGGTATTTCTTCGTTTTTGTTTGGATACAACAACAGGCTTTATTTCCTGTATGGAAGCGGTGATGTCCCCAGTGAACCCTTGCGGCGTAAAGGAAGCAGTCATATTAAATTGGCTTCATGACAACTTGCATTCTGCAGGCTTCCAGAACCCGAGCCTAAACCAGTGTCTCTTTTTGTTGTTGTTGTTGTTCAGTCTTGTTTTACGAGTGATTGGCCTCAATCCAAAATATCTTTTAAAATCTCTTGTTCAAGTGTTAAAATAAATTAAAAGGTGATAATAAAAGCATGATTCTATGTGTGAGGAATCCAAACTCTCAAAACATTGAAAGCACATTCTAGTGAATTCGCACTGTCCCGACTGTAGTTGCAAAGGAGCTACCTGGGCCAGACACTGCACCGGGTGCTCCGCTTTGTTGCAGCAGATGTGGCCTCAGTGAGAGCACAGTCTCAAGCATGAGCACCTCCATAATCTTCGGGATCCTGAACGTGAGTCCCTTGTTAAAGACAAAATTAAGGAATTCAAGTGAATGACCATCTCTGCCATTGGGAGATGGTTAGGATGCCAGTGTATGCCAGGGGCCTCCACACAGTGGAGTATAGAAAACTTTGCATGGATTCCAAAAAAATTTTTTTTAAGATTTTTTTATTCACATATTTGAGGCAGAGTTACAGAGAGAGGGAGAGACAGAGAGAGAGGTCTTCCATCTGCTGGTTCACAAACTAAATGGCCTTAACTGCTGGAGCTAGGCGGATCCAAAGCCAGAATCCAGGAGCTTCTTCTGGGTCTCCTATGTGGGTGCAGGGTCCAAGCACTTGGGCCATCTTCCACTGCTTTCCCAATCTGTAACCAGAGAGGCGGATTGGAAGAGGAACAGCTGGGACACGAACCAGCACCCATTGGGTGCCAGTGCCACAGGCGGAGGCTCAGCCTACTATGCCACAGTGCTGGTCCCTGAAAAGTTTTTTTGAAGCAAAGTTAACATCTTTTTAAAGATCATTGGTTTTTTTTGTTTGTTTGTTTTTGTTCCAATTTTTATTTATTTATATTTATTTGAAGGGCAGAGAGGCAGATCTTCCTTCTGCTGGTTCACTGCCCAAATGGCCACGCAAGTGCAAGGGCCCAAGCATTTGGGCCATCTTCTAGTGCTTTCCTAGGCGCATTACCAGGGAGCTGGATTGAAAGTGGAGCAGCCAGGAATTTAACCAGTGCTTATATGGGATGCCAGTGCCTCAGACCATAGCTTAACCTGCTATACCACAGTGCTGGCCCCTAAAGTGCTATTTACAGCTATACCAAACATTCACCCCTAAACTTACTTAACTTTGTTTCTCTGAAAACCTATTTAAAAATGTATATTTATTTTATTTATTTGAAAAGCAGAAAAAGAGACAGATAGGGAGATTTCTTCCATCCCACGGGTTCACTTCCCAAATACCTGCAATAGCTAAGGCTGGAGCCCAGAACTCAATCCAGGCCTCCCACACAGGTGACAGGAACACAAATACTAGAGCTGTCGTCTGCTGCTTCCCAGAGTGCACATCAGCAGGAAGCTGGAATAGGAAGCAGAGCTGAGACCGGAGCCCAGGCTGACACAGGCTGTGGCCGTCGCAGGCAGCATCCCCACCACTGCAATAAACACCTGCCCCATTTCCACAAACTTTCTGAAGTATCCTAATGCACTTACTACACATGGTGGATATGGTGCTTACTGTATGCCAGGTGTTCTGCTAAACACTTTTGAAGTATTATCTCTCTTTTTTTTAATATTTATTTATTTATTTGAAAGTCAGAGTTATATGGAGAAAGAGAGGCAGAGAGAGAGAAAGGTCTTCCATCCGTTGGTTCACTCCCCAATTGGCTGCAACAGCCAGAGCTGCACCAATCCAAAGCCAGGAGCCAGGAATTTCTTCCCACTCTCCCACGCTGGTACAGGGACCCAAGCACTTGGGCCATCTTCTGCTGCTTTCCCAGGCCATAGCAGAGAGCTGGATCGGAAGTGGAACAGTCCGGACTCAAACCAGCACTGCAGGCGGCGGCCCTAGCCGCTGTGCCGCAGCACCAGTCCCGTATTATCTCTTTTAATCCTCTTTTAAGACCTTGATGGGATAGGGACTATTGCAATGCTCATCCTACAGATGACTTGGTTATTAAGTGGCTCAGCCAGGATTCAAGCCGGGCTTGAGAGTAGGGCTTGTTTCATGGGTATATGGCCTGTGCACTTACATAGGGGTCCAAGGTTAATATTGTCACTCCTTTGAATTTCTTAATAACTAATTTTATCAAGGGACTCACATTTTAGACCCCCCCTCCCAAGATTATGGAGCTGGTCCTGCATGAGACCCTGTGTTACTGGGGCCACATCTACCACAACAGAAGTAGAATACCTGGTGCAGTGCCTGATCCAAGTAGCTCCTCTACAGTCAGAAAATTCTTTCCCTTCCCCCCAAGCTCTGCTCCTTTAACAAAGCAAAAGGTGAGAAGTCCTCCTGTAGTATTTCAGTTTATGTTTTTCCTCCTAAACCTTTTGTTTGCAAAGTATGACATAAATCTAATAAAGGAATGGTACATGATTAATGGAAGAGATTGAATTTGACTGAAAAGAAGCATGATCACCCAAGATGATGTGATTAGAGTGCTGAGGGGCAAGGGTTGAAGGCGCCACTCGAGACACCCAAGTTGGACTAGCTGGGTTTCATACACACTCCAGCTTTCTGCTAATGCAGACAGTGGTGATGGTTCAAGTAACTGGCTTCCTGCCACCCGGGTAGGAGACCTGGATTGAGCTCCCAGCTCTTGGCCTCAGTATGGCCTACCCCCACCATTGCAGTCATTTGGGGCTCGCTCTTCCTGCCTTTCAAATAAATAATTTTTTTTTCAAAAACGCTGAGGCTCATCTAGCCTTTCCTGTTCTTTGAGGAAACCTTTCCTTGAACCAGGTATGTAGACACATCTATCACTGGGACATTTTCCTGGGTTTTGGCTGGAGATACAGGTGGCAGACAAAGTCTCCTAATAGTGAGAGTGCTATGCTGTCTGGATTCAGCGGCCATGGGGCAGTCAAGTGGGAGTTCATCGTGCTTTGATTGCAATCCTCAAATCTCAGGCACTGGCTGTGTTCCCACTGACCTGCGGGCCTCGAGCATCAGACGGCCTATTTGACCGGTCCCACCAGGGCCTGAGATGAAATGAACTCCACTTTCTGGAGTGAACATGATTTCCTCAGGGACAGCAGCATCCACGTTTTATTCCTGTTTAACCTCTCTCCGCTCTGTGTTTTGTTCCCAGGTAGCACCAGGTAAGCGGTTGTGAGGGAGAGTGCACTGCGTTCAGTTCAGTTGGTGCCGCCCTGTGCCGCAGAGCAGCTCGCCCAGGCCCCACAGGCAATCCCGCCGCAGGAGCTGCTGTTGGGCCCGAGCGCGCAACACTCAGACGGGGAGGAGGCCTAGAAAAGATGCCATAATTTTTTCCAGAAACATACGTCCCAGATGTTTTGCAGAGCCTGACTTAGACAGTGGTTAGCCTGGAATGTCAGAGAAAGAATCTGTATGTGCTACAACACTCAGAGCTTAGAAGTCTCATCGCTCGGTGCAGGCTCCCGTCCACACGTTCTAAGCCAGGCCAGGGGCATGTTGTGGCCTGGTAAGTGAGCACATACTCTGCTCTGTGTTATTGTTATGGCTGATTCAAGCCTCCAGGGTCACTCTAAGTCGAGGGGGCTAGTTCGAGGTTGTTGAAGTCCAGGGCCAGCCTCCTTGCTGTGCTCCTCTGTGACATCCAGAAAGATAGTGCGCCTGTCTCAACCCAAACTGCAGAAGAGCAGTAGCTCACTTGTCCTTTTCAATTTCCTTTAAAACACTCTGGAATACAATTTTTACCGTAAGAGACCATTCATGAAAAATTAACTGATTCAGCCTTCGCATGAGAGGCAGGGAAACTGCACCTGCTTCCCGGGAAGGTTTTCATCGACGGTTCAGCTGTGCTCGAAGCTCTCAGCAGCTGCCACGTCAGAAGACCCATCTGCTTCCGACAGGACTCCCTAAAGTCACGACAGGAAGCTTCCGCCTGGATCGAGGGGTGCTATGAAATCATGTCCGCAGAAGCAGTGTTGTACAGTTTTAAATTAAACAGCAAGAGGTCCTCACTGGGAAGGCGATAACCCACACTTCCCCCTTAGGAAAGCATCTTGGAGCACGTTGTTTATTTGAGCCTCCCAAGATACAGGGTAGGTTAAAATTAGGAAACTTACCCCCTTCCTGTGCAGGTCCTTGCGCTGGATCACTGGTTTATATTTTCTGCAAAGCCTTGTCCCCCACTGGAGTCTGATAGCCAGGTATCCAGGTATTAAGCACTTTGGGTCAGTGCTAAGAACACTGTCACAAGTATTAGCAGGCTGTCCGCTGTGCAGTTCAGCTCTGACACTAAGAGCACACACCAAGAGCAGACACGCAAATCTTGTCTGCCTCAAGCTCTTTCCGTTAGGGATCATGCCTCCAGTGCTATAAAATTAAATCATCTACAATTGTATTCTGGTTGCCAACTCCTTGTAAACACAGCTCCTCCTTTCCCTCTGGAGTAGTAAACTGATGCTGGTCCTAGTAGCCTGTCATATCTCTCAAGCAACAAACTTTGGAACCATTCTTCAGTTTTCATTCTCTTCCCTTATCCCCAGATAATTATTTGCACACACATGCATGCGTGTGTGTGTGTATGTGTGTTTGTATGTGTTCATTTATTTTAATCTACTTACAAGACAGAGTGACAGAGAGAAAGCTCTTCCATCTGTTGATTCACTTCCCAAATGTTGAAGCCAGGAGCCCAAAACTCTATCCGGTCACCCACATGCGTGGCAGGGGCTCAAGCACTTGAGCCATCTGCTGCCTCCCAGGATGCATTAGCAGAACACTGGATCAGAAGCAGAGTAGGCAGGACTCAAACCAGGAACTCCGATATGGGATGTGGGCATTTCAGTGAGCAGCTTAACCCCCTGTGCCACCACACCTGCCCCATGCCTTTTGTTTTTTAATGTCCCCATAATTTTCCCTTGTCTTTTCTCCCTCTTCTCTCACGCAGTTATTTGTACTATCTTTTCTCCTTGTTGTCTGAATTCACCTGTTGATTCTGGCTTTGACCTGCCCTCTGTTTCGCAGTCCCATGGGCACAACCTAAGCCAGCTCTCCATGTAAGGTCCTTGTCTGGTGATAACATTGTATGGAGGAGTTGGAGCACAGCAAAGTAACTGTTTAGCAATCATATAACTAGAAAGCGGCAGCTGGAATTTGAACCCAGGCACTGGAGCTCAGGCTACACTTACCTTAACAGCTGTGTTAGGTTTTTAAAAAGTGCTGCCAAGGAAGTGAACAGGGAGCTGTGATGGAGCGGATGGTGCTGCATGCTCTGCATAGGGATGCCAGGAAATGTCTCTCTAAGAAAAGTGCGTGAGAGCCCGGTGTGAAGGATAGTGCCCTAAACATTTTCCCCCTCCTTCTGCCTCTCCCGCCAAGCCCTCTTGGTCTCCCACAGCCTAGCTTGAGCAGCTTTCTTCAGTGAGCCCCTGGACAGAAGCTTAGCACTGAGCTACACTCTATCACATTGCAGAGCCTGATTCCTAGAAACACCTGTGCGAAGGGGACGACGCATGCTTCTGCTAATCATTTCTTGTCTGCCTTACCTCGGGGACTCTACCTCATGCAAGTTTTGGATCCTTGTTCCACTCCTGGTAATTCTTACATCACGGTCTGGACAAGATACAGGCATAACTGAATACATAAATCCTTAGAGCTTCAGACTGTCTAGGCCTGCTTTGGTGCTGTTATCATGTGGTTCTCACATTTTTTGGTCTTGGGACCTCGTTAGTCTCTAGAACTGTTGAAGACCCCAGTGAGCATTTGTTTATGTGAGTTATATTTGTTTTTTTTTATCCCAGTATTAAAAATTGGAGAAAATTTTAAACAGAATGTACAGGACATATTCCATTAGCCCCAGAGTAATGCTCCCATTCACACGTTCTATAGGATCTGGGAAACTATAATCATGAGAATGAGAGGGGAAAGCAAGCCACACCTTAATACTACGTGGAAAATAATTTTGACCTCATGGACCTCTCCCTGTCTTGAGGGCCCCAGGGACCCCTGGGCCACATTTTGAGAGCTGCTGTGCTGCACAATGTCACACCAATGATTTTAGCTCCTCTAAAAGCCTGTAGTCAGTGATCTCTGTATTCCTTTGATTGCTGTCTGACAAACTTACTGGCTTAAAATAGCACATCATCTCCCAGTTCTGTGAGTCTGAGATCCAGACGGGCTCAGGACGGCACAAGGCTGAAATCCAGGTGACAACCAGGGCTGACTTCTGATCCAAAACTCTGGATCCTCTCTCAGTACAGGCTCAATCAGGGGCACGTGGCAGAGTTCATTTCCCTGCAGCTGTGGGACTCATGGGAACCTGGCTCCTAAAGACCAGTTGGTAATGTTTATTGCAGCTCAATTCACAATAGCTAAGACCTGGAATCAACCTAAATGCCCATCAACAGTAGACTGGATAAAGAAATTATGGGACATGTACTCCATAGAATACTATACAGCAGTAAAAAAAAAAATGAAATCCGGTCATTTGCAACAAAATGGAGGAATCTGGCAAACATCATGCTGAGTGAATTAAGTGAGTCCCAAAGGGACAAATATCATATGTTCTCCCTGATCGGTGACAACTAACCGAGCACCAAAAAGAAAACCTGTTGAAGTGAAATGGACACTAAGAAACAGTGACTTGATCAGCCCTTGTCCTGACTATTGAGGAACAACTTAATGCTTTATCCCTTTTAGTATTTTTTTTTGTTCTAGTTAATACTATTGGTTGAACTCTGTAATTAACACACAATTATTCTTAGGTGTTGAAATTTAACTGAAAAGTGATCTCTGTTAAATATAAGAGTGGGAATAAGAGAGGGAGGAGATGTACAAGTTGGGACATGCTCGATCGGACTTGTCCCAAATGGTAGAGTTAGAAACGTGCCAGGGGATTCCAATACAATCCCATCAAGGTGGCATGCACCAATGCCATCTCATTAGTCCATGTGATAATTTTCAGTTCACAATTGATCATAATGATAGGAATAAGAGTCAAATGGATCACATAAACAAGACTAGTGCCTGCTAATACTAAGTGAAAGAATTAAAAAGGAGAGAACGATCCAACATGGGAAGTGAGATACACAGCAGACTCATAGAATGGCAGATGTCCTAAACAGCACTCTGGCCTCAGAATCAGCCCTGAAGGCATTCGGATCCGGCTAAAAAGCCCATGAGAGTATTTCAGGCATGGAAAGCCAAGAGACTCTGGCAAAAAAAAAAAAAAAAAAAAAAAAAAAAAAAACTAAATGAAAGATCTCTGTGAGTGAGATCCCAGTGAGTGGAAAGAACGGGCCATCAAAGAAGGAGGTACCTTTCTCTGAAAGAAGGGAGAACTTCCACTTTCACTATGACTTTGTCTAAATAAGATCAGAGTCGGCAAACTCAAAAGGCTTCCATAGCCTTGGCAACCCATGACAAGAGCCTTGGGTGATTACTGATGCCATAAACAAGAGTGTCAATTGTTAAGTCAACAACAGGAGTCACTGCACACTCACTCCTCATGTAGGATCTCTGTCTTTAATGTATTGTACAATGTAAATTAATGCTATAACTAGTACTCAAACAGTACTTTACACTTTGTGTTTCTGTGTGGGTGCAAACTGTTGAAATATTTACTTAATATATACTAAATTGATCTTCTGTATATAAAGATAATTGAAAATGAATCGATGTGAATGGAATGGGAGAGGGAGTGGGAGGGTTGTGGGTGGGAGGGAAGTTATGGGGGGGAAGCCATTGTAATCCATAAGCTGTACTTTGGAAATTTATATTTATTAAATAAAAGTTAAAAAAAAAAAAAAAGACCAGTTGGAGGTATTTTGCTCCTGCTTGGGTCATAAGGACTCGTATGATTGGGTCAGGCACACCTGGCATATGTAATCTTCCTGTTGATTAACTAGAGTCAAGTAATTAGGCCCATGATTACATGTCTTTTGCCATGTTAATGCTACTTACTGTGTGAGTCTATCCCATGACATTCACAGATCCCACTTATACCTAGGGATGAGTGATTGTACAGGGCAGGGATACCAGGAGTACAATATTAGGGGCCATCACAGACTTCTGCTGTTCTGTTTTGGGGAAAACAAACATTTTTTATCCAACCTTTCACCTTCACCACCAAATTTCTACTGTCGTCCCCCAGTTCTTTAATTTGGGGAAGTTCGTGTTTGCCAAGCTCCATCCTTGTTCGAGCAAGTTACCTAACCTCCCTATAAAATAGGCACACCTCTGCTAAAGTTATTGTGAGATTTCAACCCTATGCATTTTAACACAGAGCCTGCCACACAGGAAGGCCTCAGTGACCTTATGTCTCATCAGTGGTGGCTTCCTTGGTGTGTACGTGTCTTGAAGGACAGCTGTCCTTAAACTAAGCAGAGCAACAACTTCCAACCCTGTAGGATGACTGTAATCAAAAAGGAGCAGAAAGGGCAGGCATCTGGCCTAGTGGTTGGGCCACCCTCGTCCCATGTTGGAGTGCCTGGATTCATTGCCCACTTCTAGCTCCTAGCTCCAGCTTCCTGCTGGTGCAGACCCTCGGGGGCAGCAGTGATGGCTCAGGTAATTGGGTTTCTCTCACTTGAAGGGAGACGTGGCTTGAGTTGTCAGCTCCCAGCCCAAGCCCAGACAGCTCCAAACTATTGCAGGGAGTGAATCAGCTGATGAGAGCGCACTCTCTCTCTCTGTCTTAAAATTAAAAAAAAAATAATGAGTAGAAAATGCATGTTGCTAAGATATGGAGAAGTTGGAGACCTCGTACACTGCTTGTGGGGATGCAGAATGATCCAGCAGCAGACGGCAGTTAGGCAGGTCCTCAGAAACCAGACGTGCAGTTCACACATCATCCAGCAGTTCCACCTGTAGCTGTGTGCCCCAGAGAGGTGGGAACATGTTCACACAAACACTCATTCATGAAAATTCATCATAGCATTATCAACATAATCAAAGGGTAGAAACAACCCGACTGTCCATCAGTTAATGAATGGATGAGCAAAAGGTGGTCAGCTCATGTAACAAAATATTATTCAGTCACAAAAAAGTAATGAAGTGTTAAAGAAATGCTCAATGTTTGAAAGGATAAATGTATTTACCCTGATTGGCTATTACATGATATACCAAAACTTATGTGGTACCCATAAATATGCACAATTGTATATGTCTATTAACATTTTCTAAAAAATAAAAAAATTTTAACAAACTGAAGTACTAATATATGCTACAATATGGATGAATCTTGAAAGCATTATGCTAAGAAGCCAGTCATGAAAGACCACATGTTGTATGATTCCATTCATACGAAATGTCCAAAGCAGGCAAATCCATAAACAGCATGCATTAGCGGTTGCCAGGGTCAGCAGGAAGAAGGAGGGGAGGGCAACTCCCTGTGGGTATGGGATTTCTTTCTGAAGTGAGGAAAATGTTGTGGAATTACTCGTGATGGTTATGCAACTCTGTGAATACACTACAAACCACTGAATTGTACACTGGGTGAAATTAGGGTGTATGAATTCTATCTCAGTAAAAAAAAAATCACCAATAGTAATATATCTACCTATATATTTGTGGGTTAGTACACAGACAAACAAAAACAAAACAAAAACTGGCACAGCAGCCAGGAAGCCACCACAGGGAGTGTTTCTATTTATTGGGATTCCATCTCTGCCCAATGCCAGAGACAAAAAAGTCTATGAACGTGCCTCAGACACAGCAGGGCTCTGAGGGCAGGGCTCAGTAGGAACTGGTCTCAGCCTGAAACAGATCGCTTCACCACCCATGAAGATGCCTCATCCAAAGGCCTCACGCCACCCTCCTGCCCTCACCAGAAGCTAAGATAATTTGAGTGTGTTTTGTTTTTCATTTAGTCTTACAGGGGCCTCAGCCATTGTGGACATTAAGGGAGGGAACCAACAGATAGCTCGCTTGCTTGCTCTCTCTCTCTCTCTCTCTGCCTCTCCAATAGGTTTTTGTTGTTGTTGTTGTTGTTGTTGTTGTTGTTGTTGTTTTTTACAGGCAGAGTTAGAGAGAAGAGAGAGAGAGAGAAAGGTCTTCCTTCCGTTGGTTCACCCCCCAAATGGCCGCCACAGCCGGCGCTGCGCCAATCCGAAGCCAGGAGCCAGGTGCTTCTCCTGGTCTCCCATGGGGTGCAGGGCCCAAGGACCTGGGCCATCCTCCTCTGCACTCCCGGGCCACAGCAGAGAGCTGGACTGGAAGAGGAGCAACCAGGACAGAATCCGGCACCCCAACCGGGACTAGAACCCAGTATGCCAGCGCCGCAGGCAGAGAATTAGCCTAGTGAGCCGCGGCGCCGGCCACCAATAGTTTTTTAAAAGTTAACCTTCCAATGCACTCCTGCAGTGATGACCTTGCCACTTCCCCATTAAGAAGTGAAGCAGGATTTTCATCCCTTCCATTTGAACTGACTTGGCCTACACATGAACTTGCTTAACCACTGGCTACAGCTGGAATGGCATTCTGACTTGGTGTCTTGCTCACTCTCTGGACAGAACCCCTCTCAGCACCAGTGACCATGCTGTGAGAAGTACAAGCCACATGGAGAAGCCGCGTGCGGGCGGCCCAGCTGACAGTGCCTCTCAGTGCAGACTCCGAGTCATCTCAGTCCAGGCTCTACACATGTGCGGGAGGGGCCTATAGATGATGGCATCCTGGGCACTGGAGGCTCCCTGAGCCTCCCCAGGCTCCCCGCAGGGGCTCAGACACCAGGAGCAAAGAAAAGCAGCGCCTCTCCCCCACCTCCTTTCTCCTGTGGCCTGTGAATGGCTGCTCACAGAGTCCCTGGGCTTATTTTCTCCCACACGTTTTGGGATAAATTTGTTACAAGTAATAGGTCATTAGAAAAACAACCTTTCAAAAGAGGCCAGTTTCTGCAAAGGTTGGTTACTTTGGCCTAATATTAAAAGGGGAAGCAATTTCTCGCCCCCGAGGCAAAGGGAGCTGAATTTCTGCATGGTGGATAGGAAAAGGATTTTTTTCAACTCCTTGCTCCTTGGCCTGCATGTAACAGTGAAACAGAAACCAATGGATTCTTTTAAATCTTTTAACCATATGCAGATGAATAAGCAAATGGTTGGACCTGATTCCTAATCTCTTTTCCTTTCCTGTGTAACTGAGAATTTTTTTCCACTCTAATAAACTTGAGCATTTAAACAGAAGTCATGTGTCACATGTATGACGCGTAGCAGCAAGAATGTAGAGAAGGAGATAGCTGAGTGTGGAGATTTAATTAATACCCAAACCACTCCACTGAAAGTAGGAACAATGTTTCTGGCAGGAAGATGCGAATTCTTTTTTTTTCCGTCTAACTTCGAATGCTTTTTCTTTCCCTCCTCTCAGTCTTTGTAGGATAATGATGTAAGATTCCGTAACTGTAAGGAGAACTCTGCGAAGTCTTCTTTCTACGGCACGAGCAGGGCCTCCCCCATCCCTGGGCCTCCGTGTGGATGGCCAGCTCCTGGAAGCAGCAGATTAGAGTGAGAACCCAGCCGCAGCAGGAGGGAGGAAGGAGTCGGAGATGACAGGCTCCTCTCGCCTCTCAAAGAAGCAAGAAAGGAGTTTCACTCTTCAAAGAAAAGGGAAGAAAAACAAGACTTTTATGGAAATCCCATATACAGAGCTGGCAGCAATTCAGCAAGGAATAAAAAGTATCCCAAATGTTCCCCTATTCAGTTTCCAGTCTGGCAGGCAAATTAAAAAGAGGTTCAGTTTTCAAACTGATTTGCCCCGAGTTAGCTGGATGTGAAACCCTGGAAGGCATCCGAAGGGGGCCCGGGCTGCGGTCCATTGACAACCCAGTCAAACACGCTGGCGAGAGCGGCCGGGCGCGGGGAGCGTGACCTGTTCTCCTGAACATCGCGGAGGAAAGGATTAGAAGGCTGAGGTTGGATTCGAAATCCATGCTCAGGGAGGAGAAGGAAGGAGAAGTCACAGGCGAAACAGGATTGGCCACGCGTGATCAGCAGGGCCACTGGGTGGGCAGTGGGTCCACGGGGAGTCGTCAGACCACAGCAACCCAGTGGGCGCCTCTGCTTTCATCTCCGTTCCACCACTTCCACAACCAGGAGTTGTGTTTTATGTCGGACATTTTCCGATGCTGAAAACTCTACAAAGAATGTCCTGATTATAGATAAAACCAAACAAATTGCACTTGTTAAATGAGAATGAGAAAAGACGTTTCTAAGTGACTTGTATTGGCCTTGAACGCCTAGAAACATAAACTTCAGTCTGCAGATCTGAC